TTCGTCGAAGTTCAGAGATTATTAATGAGGCTTAGGTATTCTTAAGACTGTTCTATTACGTTCAGAGCATTACCATAGATGTAACTCTAAGACCAGAAGATCCCGAAGAAACCTGCTCAACTTTTTGGCTCAGCTCTGGTGCTATCTTCGGTTCCAAGCTAGTCGAACTTTCATAGCGAATCAAAACAAACATAGTGTAGTACTAGAATTTCGACTAGAATGGGTCAAGTAGTGAGCCAATTTAAGATCGTTAGTATCCAGCGATTGGCAGTGCTTAGAGCTTCGGAAGAATTTCAAGAATTCCAAAGAGGTTCCGAGAACTGCAGGGAAGATCAGATAATCTTAGAACAGTTCAATCAGCTTCAGTGAAATTACAGACATTTTAAAGAAGTTTCGAGAACATCAAGGAAATTGTTAGAACTTATGGAACTTCCTTCAAAATTTATGAAAAAATAGGGAACTTTTGGGAAGTTCTGAGAATTTCAGAAAAGTACAGTGCACTTCAAGGAAGTGAATACAATCTTGAGGAAGTCTAGAGAACTTCTAGGAAATCCAAAGAAACTCACGAAAAATTCCGAGAACTTCACGAAAATTTTCTGGATTTCTGGAAAACTGCAGGATCTCTAGGGATTTCGTCTTACATCAAATATATGACTGTTACAATTAACAGTCACGTTTCAAGCTATGCTGTCTGGTGGGGATCCTAATTCTCGCTTAAATTAATGGCGTCTATTGCCTGTTAGGCATTTTCGTTATGATCCCTTCCCAGTTCTTATTTGTGAACGATGATAGTGAAAAAACCATGGTAGGATCGTAAAGTGATTAGGGGTTGGCTTATCAGGGTTCGAGTTCAACTATCGTTTTAAGTTTTGCGTTATGCTGATTGCAGAAAAGCTTTACCCAGTGTCATTTAGAGGGAACTGAATTGCGTGTTCATGCAGTTATACATTCCTATAAAACAATTACGGGCTGTAGCGGTATTCGAATTAGATATTAAATTAATGTAGCATGAAGTTCAAATACTACAAATGTTCACTGTTACTATTCGAAACGACACGCACTATCCCAGTTCACTTGTATGCAACTGGTGAACTCATATCAAGAGTAAATTATCCCTGCATGAAATTTCACTCATTATGTGTTCATCCGCTCACTAGGCGCGTAAGTTTTCTCATTTGAGGTGGCATGAAATTTGATCCGTGGGATTGAGTATAATCTCCCAGTAGGATTACTTGTCGTCGGAAATTTAATAATAAGAAAAACACTTTAAGTTAAAGATTGGAATGAGCTAGACAGATGTGGGATACTTGGGAGGAAAAGAGATAGTATCTCTGATCGAATCGGAAGGTAATCGGATATCGCCTTTTGATAAGATCGTTTTTTCGGTTTCCGGAACGAAGGCCAAAAATTGTTTTAGCGGCCTTTCTGAGGAATCCCAAGATCTTTCTCGTCCACTTTAATCCAACCCGTGGAAGAGGCAGGACTGTGAAGTTTTTTGGTATAGTTTCGCGTTAGTTTTCATTCGGTTGGATTTAGTGTTTTTCTTTGAATCCCAAGTACTTAACGTCTACTAGCGCGTTCCAATCTTTTGCATTAGACTGAACTCGCCCTGGGGTTTTGAGTTTGCCGGGCATCCAAAACGACAAGTGGTCCTCTATGGAGGTGGCGCTTAAGCCATTTGTTTAAAAACCAATCCACGGAACACTCTAGTAGACCGATTTAGGCTAGCCAACTTTGTGCCGGCTACAAATGCCGGCTTGAAATGAGCGCTTGGTTTTGAGGTGAGCGGGGCACGCACATCCTAAATCCTAGTCTAATTTTACCATGACAGCATTGGATAAAATGTTATCCAAAGTTTCACAATAGCAGAGGTTTCTGATGGAAGACGAAACCAATTTTCTTGGACGGTCGGAATAAATATCCCGAAAAAGTCGTGACTTTCAAGAATACGGCGCTTCCAAGCGAACCCAAACTGACTGAGAAAAGTTGTTGATGCTCTAGGAGATGTTGGAAGAATCTTAAATGAGAGGTCAAAAATAAAAACTACCTATAAAGTCGGGAGAGACCCGAGTAGACCCAAATCAATTGAGGAAACTTCTATGTAACTTATTTCAGTCGCAATCAAGTTGCTGCAACTCTTTGAACTTATTGATTGAAGTGTGCTACTTGGGTAATCTTGGAGGCGAACCAGCCCAAGGCTAAAATCCTCCTTAATAAAGCTAAATAATAATAATAATACTTGGGTAATTCAAGGGTAGGGGGCGACCCCAATGTAGCGGTTAACATCCATTTATCTTAATCCAAAGTCACGAGTTCAAATCTCATCCCCGGATAAGGCGCTAATGACCAAAGAGTATTAAGGTGACTATTAAAAAAAGCAAAAATATTCCTCGGAAGCTAAAAGAACCACGAAAAGAAATCCCGGGAGATGTCTGGAGAAATTTCCGGAGGAATTTGAAAATAACTTCAAGGAGAACTTGAAAAAATCTTTCTATTGATGTTGGAAGAAACTCTCAGGAAAAGATGGATGCAACTTTCGGGAATATCTCGGAGTAGTTTTTCCTACTCAGGACATTCCAGGATACAATTTTAGACGGATTTTTGGGTGAAAGTTATAAGAAATTTAACAGAGAAGTCGAAAGAAACTTCCAACGAGAAAGTTTGAAAATACAATCAGAGGAATCTGACGAACTTCTAAGGGAAATCGGAAGAACGTTTCGGAAGAATTATCCAAGGTACGCTAGAAGAAATTACCGGGGGTGGCCAGATAAATGTTCCAAAGAAGTCAGAAGACATTCCCATGCGAAGCCAGAAAGACGAAATCTCCGAGGATGTCGAAAGCTTCTTGGGAGTTAAAAACTATTAAATAGAAACTTCCAATGAAAGTTTAAAGAAATTTGCAGAAGAAGCTGAAAGAACCTTCCAGACGAAGATCTTCTGATTCAAAAGAAACTCTCAAGATTAGTCTTAAACAAAAATCCGGTTGAAGTCGGAAGAAAATTCGGAGACAGCACCATATCCACGTAACTTAATACTTTTCTGATCTCTGAACAAAAATACTTCCTGATTCCCGGGAAGGCTGGGAAATAGAAACACTAGTTCGCAGGAAACTACCGTTGGAGCGAAAAGGACTTTCAGGGAATATCGGGCGATATTTCTTCTGGGAAAATCGGAAAACTTTCCTTTAGGAGTTTCTTCTACGGCTGATATTTTCTATAATAAAGTTAAAAATAATAATAATATTTCCGCGAGAATTTGATGAAATTTCCGGGATTATATGATTTCCAGGAAACATATAAGAATGGATGATGTGAGAAGAAGCTTTAGGAAGATGCGTTCAACTTCCCAGCATGTTTTTTTTATGCATCTGCATCATCCAAGAAACACCAGACCAATTAAAATGGAATGTGACAAGTACAATCAAGCACAGAGAAGTCAGGCAATTTCCAAACTCTAAAGAACATCGGCCCGACTGGCAATCAAGCCTGCAGTTTTAAAGCCCGGTTTAAATGATTCATTTTTGCTTCAAATTTATTTGAACTGAACGTCCAGAAAACTGGTCGATGCTGACCATTCATAATTCGTTTTAAATGAGTGCTTGTTGAGCCTTTGGATTCGAGGCATCTTATCATAAAAACAAACTTTTTTATGACAGATAAACTTTACTAATAATTGCTCAACAGCTTCATTTCCACGTCTCCAGCGCCTCTCTGAGCTTGAAGCATTTTCTGAAAAGAGAAAATTCGCTCCGCTATAAATTGTCTTGTTTACAGATTTTCGATTTCACCCAGCGTACTTTGACCCCAAGTAGTCACTACCAACTCGATTATTCAACAATGATCCGCGCGGTCGTAAACCTGTCCAAAAGCAGGCCACTAGTCCTTCCCAGCCGAGCCGAGAGCATCCAACGCGAACAACTTCTCATTCCACACGAACGATGCACATTAAGTAATGTAACGACATGTCATCTACTGCCCTATAGAGGAGAAAGTGCATGACATATCCGCGAGGTGCATCAAGGGTTGCGACCAGTCGTGGTAAACCAGTTTGCATTTTCCCTTTTTGCCAAAAATCAAACAAAAGCGATTTCGCCTTGTCCGCCGAGCGTCCCCTCTGATCATCTTGACGATTCGTGCACGTCAGGAAATTATTATGTTTTGCCCCTTTTCTTGTATGACCGCGGACCGTGCGCCGGTACGAGACTATATACACATTTCAGCTTAATTTCTTCTCTTGTTTCGAGAGAGACAATCAGCGAAAAGGATGCGACCAAGCGCGAAGACAGCGCACCTCGAGAAATACACACTACAGTGCTGTTTGCATTTCTGGCAAGCATTAATTTATGCATAACTTGGATTGGTCATCTCCAGCCACAAGCGAGGTGTTATTGACAGTTGGTCAGGTCTTTGTGTGTTGGGATCTTGATTGTTTACAAATAGAAAATCAATTGTACTCACGTACAGGTTCCGTCTTCGATCGATCCATAAACGAAGGCCCGGCCGGTATTGCTGGCCCATGGCGAGTACAGTGGCCTTTTGCGACTTGAAGAACGAACGGTGCCCTTTTGGAGGAAAAATTTGCGTTTTCTGATTCTCGATGATGACTATCATCGAAACGCGACGGCGACGACGGTGACAGCATGGGTTATGATGCTATAAAGGGGATGCAAATTTACTCGGATTGACAAGAAACTACGGGATTCATTGGTATTCCACAGTGATTGAAGACTATTTTCATTTGGAATGTTGGTATCATGAAGACTCAATCGTCTTCAGAAAGGATTTTATTGGAATGAATGATGAAGTGTCTTTTTTACGAGGGATGATGTTACATGAATATTTCATCGATCAACTAAATGAATGTTCTATAATTAGAATCGGGTTATTATAAAGCCATAAATTGTCCTGTCTAGCCTTCTGAATAATCCCACCACTCTGCTCAATTGATGTTACCAAAATCAATAATTGACGCACGTTTTTCCCACCGTTTCTTCCCTACAGCCATCCTCAGTCACAGTTTTCAGCGATGGCACCGAACGTCCTTGGAAACACACTGCTCCTAGCGGAGGCCTGCATGGCACCGGAAGATCCAAACAACAATCAGATCAAAGCGAACAAATCGATGTTGAATGTTCGTACAACGGCAGAGCCAGCGACGATTGCCGTCTCGAAGACACGTGTCCAGGTAGGGAAAAAAAATTCACGCATCGGTGACAACCCTCAATCTAATTTGTATGTTATCTTTCCATGTGTAAAATGTAGGTTGAAGATTTTCAGAAGACTGATTCTAGTAGTAGTAGTGAAACCAGCAGCTCCTACTTCCAAGCTCCACTGGTGTGGCGGAACATAATCGCTTTCATCTATCTGCATGGTGGCTTCCTGTACGGTGTGTACCTGGCGATCACCGTGGCCAAGGGTACCACGGTGCTGATGGGTGAGTTTAATTTTCTATAATTCTGGAAGAGTGGTAAATTTAACCCTTTGTCTGTACCTTGGGGTCAATTTGGCTGTAACTAGGTGCTTTCGTGACTAGGTGCATTCACCGGAGCTCTGTAATATTAAAGGAAATCTGCTCCAAAAACTTGAAAAAATATTTATTATAAAAAATGTTATTGAAATACTTACGTTGTCTGTACCCTGGGGTCAATTTGAACCCAAATTCAAATTGCCGTAACTTAACGAAATTTCAATGGATTTCTGAAATTGCAAACGATTTGCAAAGTAAACTTAGTAGAAATTCTGTTTAAATTATCAGAATTTTTTTTAGAAGGCAGATTTCTCGGGGGGAGGGGTCATTGTATAAATATACCCATGAATTGACATATTTTGATATTAGAGATGTTTACAGGGTGCGTGACGAATTTTTGCAGTAAATTTCAAATAGTAATTTCTCATGCTTGTGCATCATGATTTAGATATATTTGGCAGCACTGGATAGCTTAAACTGTTAGGTGTAAGATTAAAACAAACAATGTTGAGTAAACGTAAAGATTTCGAAACAAGAGAGCAATCTGTCAGCCGTTGTCGCTTTGTTGCGCGCCGGAGTATGCATGAAAGAAATAATTCGGTCGGTAAATGTGTCTGAAAGAACAGTGTATAATATTAAAAAAGGCTTGGGAAAGTGATAAGACGGAGCACCTGCTCATACTGCTAATAAAGCACAGAAATGGCTTACGGAAAATATTTCGTAAATTTGGGAGGAAGAAATTTGGCCCCCAAGCAGTCCCGATATCAATCCGTTGGATTATTTTGTATAGGGCGTCGTCCAACGGGATACCAATAGAACCCCTCACACCACACTTAAGTCGCTAAAAGCTAAAATCAAGGCAGTGATGACATCTCTGGATCGAAACATTTTAAAACGTGCATACTGCAGTTTCCGGAAGCGTCTAACTACAGTCGTCAAAAGGGAAGGCAATTTTTTTGAATAAATTTACTTACAACTTCCATATGTTGCGAAAGAAAATAAATCGCACAAAATTCATTGCTAGAATAACTAACTGGTGTATTTTTTCTCAAATATGCCATTTACTGCAAAAATTCGTCACGCACCCTGTATATCACGAGATTTCAACCAAATAGGGTGTTGCTTCCTTCTGCAAAAATATTTAAGAGTACAAGGTCTTCAAAACTATGGATAGTGTATATGGATTTTACTCACTAAATGGCGCTAAAACGAAAATTATCAAGTTGCGCAATCTTGAATACACTTTATATAACGGTAACTACAGATCCTTCTCATATGGATGTTTCTCGTCGTCAGCAAAGATGTTCAGATGAACAAGACCTATCTTAAGCATCTTAGTTCAGAATTCACCCATCAAGTGGCCCTAGTGTGACATCCATTTTGAATTGTTTGCCCTAATTTACCATCCCCTCTTGGGTAAAGTTGTTCAGATGAACAAAACCTATTTTATGGTAATGAGCTCAGCTCATAGTTCACTCACCTAGCAAGGCTAGTGTTACATTGATGTTTCATTGATTGCCCTAACATAAAATATGGACTAGATAGAAGGTTTTCGTTTTCGGTTAAATTGTTTAAATGGACAAGACCTATACTAAGGTAAAGAGTTTAATCCAAAATTAACTCATCATACGGTATGTGAAATAATGGAAGCCGAGGAGTTCTCCACACTTCCACGAGGAATCACTGGGATGTTGGGTAAGAGGGCAGGCTTCGTTTTGGTAAACTATGAATTAATGTCCTAACGATCATATAACGCGAAGCAGCTAAGGAATGAACCCACGGTCCTCTGCGCAGTAAGCACTAGGTAAACGAGCTCCTTTTCAATCATCGAACTGCTGTTATGATCATGTAGTCATATTAACAAATGAAACGATTAACGAATCTTGAATGTGGATGGGCCTGAGATTAGACTCATGATGTTCTGGTCAGTAAGAAAAAACGGTTGCTCTAAGGCCACCGAGCCCCTCATATCACATTATACCGTTACTCGAGTTGTTGTACCCATTCAATCCTGGCACCGACGACGACGACGACAAGTTTCGCAAAATACACGAAAAACAAGCGATTCATATATGATATTCATATCATATATCTCTTTAAATGAAAAGACTTGAGACCGCGTTTTTCTTCTCAATAAGCAAGCCACTGCAACCGGCGATCTTTGAAATCCAAAAACTAAAAGCTTCGAAAAAGTTATTCTTCTTCTTCTTCGTATTTCATGCTTATTTCTTATCGCATACTCTCAACTTAGTGTTCTAGATGCACTTCCACAGTTATTAATTGAGAGCTTTCGATGCCTGTACAATTTTTACATTCGTATAATTCTAGATAGAGCTGGAATTAGGGCCTAACAGCTTTTGTAAACAATGACTTCTTTCGACGATTTATAGAAATTCAAGGTGCACAAACGCAAACCAACATAACCATCGGGTAGGGGAATACTTCCCCTATCTGATGGTGATATTGATTTGCTTGGGCGAGCCTTGAGTTTCTAGAAATCATCGACAGAAGTCATTGTTTACAAAAGCAGTTACGCCCTAATTCCAGCTCTATCTAGAATTGTATGGCAAGTACAATCATACTCTATACCCATACCTATACTTTCTAACCCGAAAAACTCCTTGACCGGACCGGGAATCGGACCCAGCCACCTCCAGCATGGTTTTGCTTTGTAGCTGCGAATTTACCGACTGAGCTAAGTACTTAGGCCTTCATTAAGATCCACTTTCACGCGAGTTCAATGTTTTGATTTGCTCTTTACGTGTTGTCCAGGCTGTCATAGCAAGCTATAACCGATGTGACGATTGTTTAAATAAGCCCTGGTTAAACAAGCTATTCAAATTAAATTACGTTCTCGAAAGCAGTCAATAATGTATCCCTAACTGGATCAAGCGTGTGCCCTATTTTTCTAAACATTCCGAAGCGTTCCAGCTCCGATCTATCGATTACAATTTTCAACAATAATAGCCTAAAATAAATCGTAAACTATGTTCTTGCATTCGGGTGCACACCTTACTGATAGTATCGCTTTTTTTTTATGTTCTAACCGCAAAATAGACCACGCGTGATCGAATCGCCGGGAAACAAACGGGTTGTTTTTAACTGGAACAAGCTCAAACACCATGCCAAACCAAACCAACCAAACTTAAACAAATTTTGGAAAATTTCGAAAAGAAAGAAATGGAAAAATATACATGATGATGATGATAATAGTGGTTTACCACCCATTGTAGCACAGACACTAAGTCCGATAGCAGTGGGTTCTCTTCTCTGTTTGTCTTGATCAAGCTTAATAACCTCTGATTATCCTCAACATGTCGCCAAATGAAGGGCCAAAAACGAATTGGGTAAAACGATAGGCAAAGTTGCCAATACGTATTTACGGGACAGTAATGAATCTCCTTCCAGCAACATGATCGCACAATTGGTCAAAAAGACGAGCACCCAAACAGGAAGATTCCGCAATGAGTGGGGAGAAAAGCCCGCCCTTTATCCACGAAATGTAACCAACCGAGAGTTGGCATTATCACTCTCCCCATCCAAATCGCTTCAATCGGGTGCCCTGATGGTCCCTTCCAATCCCAGCATTTTTTTTTTGTTATTTGGTGCATAATGAAATATGAATGTTGTATGAGCAATGAACAATACAATGAAGGAGTTATGTCTAATTTAAAAATTCAGACTATGATGTTGGGTCGTCATATTATGCTACTGAAAAATAAATAATATATATTTTCCCATGATTAGTTTAATCTGTGAATACCGCAGCTAAAGGCTAAACTATTTCAATTACTTAAGGGAGATGCAGTACACACGACCTGACCTCCTATCTCCTATTAAAGACCGTACTCGAAAAAAAAATGCAACATACAAAAATGATCACCAAAAATTCATTTTAAGTTGCACATTTTTGAAACTCTCAGGGAATAAATAAACACATATTAGCTATGTTTTTTCAAAGTTGGGCTATTCAACCTCCTCTCCTAGGTTAAATACCCGCATCTTGGACTTAACGCTACCCATCAAATCCTGTGCAACACTTGCGCCATCATTCTTCCACTCTTTCATCCACTCTTTCTTCAAATCCTTGTCGTTTTTGAAGACCTTCCCTGTTTTCCGGAGCTTGCCGTTCATAATCACCCTGAATTTTTATATTGGGAGAAGTTCTGGTGAGTTTGGTGGATTTGTCTCCTTCGGCACAAAAACAACATCGTTGGCTTCGTATCACTCCATCACCGGATCCGGCCAAAACAGAGTGTCACCTTGGTGGGACCGGAGGAAGGACAGCAGGCGCTTATGGAGACATTCTTCTTTATATTTTTGGCCGTTGATGGTGCCGGTCGTTATGCACAGCTTGCTGACTTTGCCACACCCACAGATTGCCTACCACACTAAGTACTTCTTGGCAAATGTGTCGACCTTCTTTTTCCGGAAATGCTCCCGAACTTCTCCGGAACATCCAGGTGGGACTTGCCGACGAAAAACTCCAGGCCGGGGATCTGCTTGGTGTCTGCTTTAATGTACGTCTCGTCGTCCATTACGATGCATTTCGGCTGCACCAACCGCTTGCGGTACAGCTTCCTGGCGCGGGATTTCTACACCATTTTTCTGTTTATCGGTTCGGTTAGGCGCCTTCCTTACGTTGAAGACATGAAGCCCGGCCCGCTTCATTGTCTGCTGGACGAACCAGACGGAAGAATTGACCTTCTTGGTAACGTCCCGAATCGAAAGGTTCGGATTACGCTAGAAGTAATCCCTCACCTTCCTTGCGTTCACGGGGTTGGTCGTCTTCGCTTTTCTTCCTCTGCCAGCTCGCCGCTGCGTCGTCAGGGTCTCCTTGACCGATTTTACCACACAGGACACGGTCAAATTGTCGATTTCAAACTATTTTGCGATCCACCTGTGGCACTGGCCTGGATTTTCCGCGACCGCTCCCATATTTTTTTGTCGAAGCACTTCTTGCTTGG